CCCAGAGGCAGGGAGCCCTGGCCCCGCCCCCCACCGCCAGCGGGGCAGGAACCCAGGAAGCCTGCCCCCCCACACCCCCATAGACTGGAGGAAGTGGGGGGCCGCCGCCGGGGAAGGCTCAGTCCCAGGTACCTGCTCTGAGCCCATCCCCTTCTGGGCTGCTCTGGGGCCCCACCTCCTCCCCTTCACCTCGCGTGGGGGTGGGGCCTTGACCCGGCCCGGCAGGAAAGGGGCTGCCGGAGGAGGGAGGCTGGAATGCCGGCCCTGGGTCAGGGGCACCTGCTCCGGGAACAGGAGGCGGGGACACCTGCTCCGGGGACTGGAGGCGGGGCCGGCCGAGCTGTGCCCTGGAGCCAGGGAGCACCTGAGTCCCTCTCTCCTCCCGGATCTTTGCGCTCCATCCCCGCACCCCCCACCACCACCACCTCCGGCTCAGACCAGGTGGCCCGGCCAAGCCCGGTGGGGGCTGGGACAAAACGGCCTCGGGAGGGTGGCCTCTTGCCCAGGAACTGGCGAGAGACCTCAGCGACGCGGGGCCTGGATTCCCCGGCTCTTGCCTGGATGAGGGGCTTGTGCGGGCGCCCGCCTGGGTCTCCTCCTCTGCTCCCCACCCCGCACCCCACTGCAGGCACCAGCCTGGGCTCTGCCCTGATTGGGGAGGGGAGAAGGAGGGGGGACGCTATGGACCACGAACCACAGCCGCGGGTGACTGCTCTGTGCTGTGGTTCCACAAGCTTCACCGCAGTCACCCCCACACGAGCCCTGGGACGCGGGCGCTCTCCTCCCCGAGATTTAAAGTGACCTGTTAGAACACCGGGCCTTCTTCCCCAGGCGCCACCCTGCAGGCGGGTCCCTGCTGCTCCTCCCTGAGGGCTTCCTGCCCCAGGACTTGCCCTTGAAGTTCCTTCTGCCTGGATTCTGCCAGATTCTCACAAGGCCTGCCCCTCCTCCCACATCCCTAGATTTACTTTCTTCCTAGACTTACCTTGTCTCTGGGACCTCTTGAGATTGGGCCGTGTTGATATGTAGATAACCTGCCTCTCCCATAGCTGGTGTCTGCTCAAGGGTCTGGGTCCCCAGCACCCAAGCAGAGCCTGGCACGGACCGCGTACTCAGTAAGTGGTGCTGAAAGTGGATGGGACCCACTGGGCCTCTCCCTGGCCTGGAAAAGGGCCCAGTCTAGGTCTTTTAGCCCAACATCCAGCTCTAAAAAGTGAGGGCCTGGGAGGTCCCAAGTCCCCAAAAAGCTGTAACAAAGCATCCCAGCCTGAGACCCTCAAGTCTCCTCTGAGAGGCCAGGATGCCTCTCTCTGGGAGATGGGGGTCTTTGGGCCTTTGGAGGCCAGCGGCAATGGTTGTCATGGAGATTGATGGCAGCTCCTTGTAGATCTGGGAATTGGGAGATGAGGGGTTGCAGGGGCCACCCAGGCATCTGGAGCTTTGAGCCTCCAGCCCCTCTGACTCTCATCTCCAGCCTGGAGCTGGGTGGGGAGTGGGTGAATCCCTCTGCAAGACCCTCAATCGACTCTCTGTGGGGGTTAAATGTGAGGGAGCAAGTAGGGTACACAGTCAGGGCCTGGCAAGGGAGTTTGTGGGGGGAGCTGGGTCAGCACCTGGGATTGAAAGGGACTGTGGTCACTCACAGTGCTGGCCCCACCCCTCGCTCAACCTCACCATTCAGGGGAAACTGAGGTGCTGAGATGCCTGCTGGGCCTCCAGGAGGTTCTCTGGGGTGTGGAGGGAAAGGGAGACTGGTATGAACATATCAAGGACTGTATGCTGGTCTTCTAGACCTGAGACCGGGTTTGCCCAGCACTTTGCTGTGCGACCCACTCTCTGGGCCTGTGTCTTTATCTGTACCTGTTGGTCCTCTGTGGCTCAGGGCAGAGTTAAGGAGGGGAGACCTGGCCCAACCTGCCCAGAGGCCCTTCCAACCCAGCAAGGTGATCAAATCCAGGCAGTGGCCCAGCAGGGCGGAGCTGCCCTGGGCGCCGCCAGCACACAGCCACTCTTTGTCTCTGGGACCTAATTAGGCCCAGAATCTGGAGAGGAAATTCAGGCAGCCCTCCTACAGTCAACCTGGCTGGGTCCAGGATCCCCTCCCAGTGGTACAGAGGTGTTGTAGGCAGTTAGACTGACATAAGCAGAGCAAGGACAGTGGGCCAGGTATAGAAGATCTTCAGGGTGGAAAGCCCCAGGTGCCTAGCAATAGTCAATCAATTGTAGAGCGGGACCTTGCCCCCAGGGTGACCTTTCCTCTCCTAGCATATCACTGGTCAAGGTTGGAATCCCCTGACCTTTCCTCCCTAGAGATAACACTTAGGTCTTAAGTTGTATTTCAGCTCCAGGTTCAGACAAGCAATAAAACCAGCCATGGCTGACCAGCTGCATTGAATAATGACCCGCCCCCCCTTCCCGGTGCCAGCCAATCAATCAATGGAGACTACAACCCTGAATGGACACACCTGGAAAGCTACTGAATATTCTAAGATCTTTTACTGAGACCTCCCCTAAAATATCTGCCCTTAAAACCCTTAGGACAGAGGGCCCAGTGCGCTATCCCTCCTGGGAGCACATCCATGCCTTTCCCTTTCCCTTTCCCAGGCACATTACCATTAGCTTCCACTCCCAAGCTCCAAGGGCCCTTCCTTTTCCTCCATAACTCGTTTCCTAAGCCCATTTCTTTTAGAAATCACTTTTTCTACCTCTTTAATTTACCCAATAATTGTTCTCTTACAGTTTGGGTCTGGACTCTGAATTCTTTCCTAGCCAGAACCCAAGTACTGAAGTTGCTGACCCCAGGTTTGGTCTGACCCCTCTCCCCCAACAGACATAATGGTGCTGCTCCCGCCGCCTATGACCGAGGGAGGCAAGAGAAACAGGCTCAAGCCTAAGAACCCCTCATATTCTGTCTGGAGGAGGCTGCCCCTCTATTTTCCATGCCTCTCTCCTTTCCAGAAGCACAGGATCACACACTCTCCCTCCAGACTCTTCCACAGCCACAGAAGGTGGGATTGGAGGTGTACCCACTGGTGAGGTTTGGGGAACAAATTCATTACGATGGTAAGGTACAGGGAGGAAGGGAAAAAGAGTCCTACACCAAATGCCCTGAGCCCTGGTCTTAATTTAATGCCCGTTGCTAACTTGGCTCATAACCAATGGCTCTTGTGGGGCTGTGAGCCATAGGAGAGAGAGCACTGCCACGAGAAACCTACATTGTTGTCCTTTTGGCCAATGCCATTCTGTGGGATCTGGGACCAGTCCTTCCCCCTCCTTGGGCCTCTTATACCCCATCTGTGGAAAGGAGTTCCTAGCAACGTGGCAAGGTTGCTAAGAAGAGCTGAGTGAGTGAGCCGGACATTCAGGAGGTGGTGAGAAATTGTGCTAGTGGTGCCCACGCCCATCTCCTGTATTCTCCAAGGCCTTTGCCTCTCCGGAGAGCAATGGACACATCCCCTTGGGTCTTCATTCCTTGGTCTGAGTAATGTTAACGTAAGAACATTCAAACCCGTAAAGAATTTTTGTGAGTTTATTTGAGCCAAACTGTCGACAACTGCCGGGAAGCAGTGTCTCAATGGATTGGGATAGTGCTCTGGAGAATGGCGGTTTTTATCTATTTTTACACATTGCAATCAAAGGGGGAGACGTAGGTGGGTTACATGAAATCCACTGGTGATAGAGCAAATGGGAGAAAGCAAAGCGGGGAAACCTCTGGTGCCCAGGCACATTAGGTTGTGCCCCAAGGGGTCCAGAAAAAGGGAAGTTACAAGTTACCCAGACATTTCAAGGATATCTCTCTCTATAAAAGCCTAAGGGACCAAACGACTGAACAACCCAACAAACTGTCGACCGGTCACTCTGAGCACAGTGACCACCAGGGGGCAGATGCTCAACACAGGAGCTGCCCCCTGGTGGTCAGTGCTCTCCCACAGCTGGAGCACTGCTCAGCTGACAATTGGGCCCCAGACGCAGGGCTCACAGCTGGAAGGCGCAGCTGCAGTGGTGGGAGTCTCTCCCGCCTCCGTGGCAGTGCTACTGCGCTACTGAGCGGCAGCAGGCACAGCAGGGCTGGGATGAGTGGGAGCAGCGCCCGGCCTGGGCTCAGGCTCCTCCCCGGCCGCCTGGCACACTACTACATCCCTCACCTGGAGATGGTATCTGGTGCAGGGGATTGGGTAAAATGACGTATCACTATTCTCAGGTACCACACCTGCCAGCAGCCCCGCCCCCTTCTCCACAGCCAATCGGCAGCTGCCCCGCCAGAGCGTTTGTTACTCGCGCCTCCGGCCACTCTTCTCCGGGCGCTGCCCCTTTCCAGGAGGCAACTGGGAAGGGATCCCCAGGATTTGCCCCCATCGCTTACGGAGCAGCTGAGCTCCGGGAGGTGCGTCGAGGACCGAAAGCGGACCACGTCTGCCCTCAAACCATTTTACAGATGGAGAAATCCGAGGTCCAGAGAAGGGAAACTCGCCAGCCGAGAGCCGAAGCTCGGGCCAGGGTTTCTCCACGGAGGTGGGCGTGCAGGTGCGCGCTCTTGGTGGGCAAAGCCCTTGCGGGAGCTTGGTCCGAAGCAGGGCACTGACGGTGCTGTCCGGGGGAGGGAGCCTGCGTGGGGTGCAGGATCCATCGCTGCCTCCGTTTCCCTAGCACTCCACGGGAGACGATGAAATTGGCGACACGCGCGCCTGCCGAGACACACTCCGACTATATTAGACTCTCCCGGCGCCCCCTCAAGTCTGATGGAGGCTCCTTTTCGCGCGCGACCTCCCAGCCCTTTAACACCCGGTCCCCCCGTTCGAGCCTCTCGGGGTTCTATTGGAAAGACTCTAGGCCCCTCTAGAACGTGAGGCCCAGACCGCCCGGAGCTGGCACTGCGCATGCGCAAGGACAGCCAACCGGGGAGGCGGAAAAGCCGGTCCCGACTTTGTTGAGCTGCCGGGAGGGGGGGGGAGGGCGGAGATTGTGTTATCCAATGACCTGAAGGAGCAAGGAGGGCGGGATTAGGCTCTCGGTTGCTAGGCGCTACCTTTGGGGGAGGCAATGTAAAAAGATGGGTGATCTGTGGTTCAATGGCCCTCACGTCACCGCCCTTCCAGACCGCGGAAGTTAAGCAACGGAGAGGCGGGCCTAGCACCGGAAGCAGGAAGGAGGGCACAGGAAGCCAGGCGCCGCCACCACTGGCAGGCAGTCAGTGGGTCTGTCGGTCCCAGGGCAGGATGGAGAAGCTGCGGCTCCTGGGCCTCCGCTACCAGGAGTACGTGACTCGTCACCCGGCCGCCACGGCCCAGCTGGAGACGGCAGTGCGGGGCTTCAGTTACCTGCTGGCAGGTGCCACCCCGACCTTTGACCCATCCCTTTGAGGCTCTGACCTCTGACCCCACGGGTCCCCTTCCCGGAGGAGCCGGGGTAGTGATCCCTGTGCTCGAGAAGTTCCTTCCAGGTTCCCGTGGGGCGTAGGGAGGGGACATCCAGGGACCCAAGCCCGCAGGGTGGGACAGCGCTCACAGAGCCTCCTTCTGTGCCTTCTCAGGTCGCTTCGCCGATTCGCACGAGCTGTCAGAGCTGGGTGAGCCGGGCTCAGGGGGGTTGGGGTGCGGAGTGGGGGGCGGGAGGGCCCCGAGTGCCTCCCAGAGGGGGACCTCCCCAAGTCCCAGTCCCAGGCTTCCCGTTAGGTCATCCTGTGCTGTGACCGACTCGCACAAAGGCCCAGCAGCCACTCTCCTGGGCCCTCGTGTCCCCGTAGCTGAAAGACAAACCTGGGCTCCTTGACCGGTCAGGCGGCTGGACCAAGGGCTTTCCTTGCCTTTGCCCAGTTAATCCTCCCGACAGTCATATAAGGTCAGTGCTGTTGTCCTCAGTGTCCAGTTAAGGGAACAGAAGTTCAGTGAGGTTAGAGAACAGCCTCTGATGATCCCAGAAGCAGGATTCAAATCCAGGTTTCCCAGATCCCAGGATCCCCAGACTGACTGCCTCTGTAGTGTTTGCCCAGTGAGTCCTGGAGGTGATGGTGCTGAAAGCAAGAGCTGGGTTTTGAAAGGTGGAGAGGGAATGGGCTTTCAGGGACAGGCTGCAGAGAAAGCAGAGGCCAGGAGGTGAAACCACACATCTGTGGCTATTTGGAGCACAGGGGGCAGTTCTGGGTTGGTTTGTCCCTGAGATCAAACCATCCTTTCTTGTTCCGCCTGCCACACGAGATCCTATTGGGGAGTGTGGAGCTCTGAAGAAGTGGGCAGGGAGGCAGGTTGGTTTCCACATAGTCTGTGGGTGGCTGAGCACAGCAGGTGATAGGTGATCCAGGCAGCTCTGGGGAAAAGGTGAGGAGGTGGAGGCTGCAGAGCCAGCCCCTCAAGCCCACACTCTACCCCTCAGTGTACTCTGCCTCGAACCTGCTCGTGCTGCTCAATGACGGGATCCTGCGCAAGGAGCTTCGGAAAAAGCTGCCTGTGGTGAGAATTCTGCCAGGAACTGAGGGCGGGAAGCATGGGGACTCAGGAAAGAAATGGTAACAACCAACCTGTGTGCATAGCACATGCGATGGTCTCATAGAATACGAGACCTGCCTCTGTCCATTTGAGCCTCGAGTCATCTCATGGGGTGAAGTGTCCAGGGGTCAATGTCCCCATTTCAGGTGAAGAGACTGTTTTAGAATCATGGAGTAGCCTGTCCCAGGTGGAGAACTCAGACCTTCACATGTGGAAAGGGGAAAATCCACCTCCTGTCAGAGGAGTGCCCTGGGGGAGGCTTGGGAAGAGGGAGTATCCCTTGATCTCTTGGCCTGGGGTTCTTGCAGTCGCTGTCCCAGCAGAAGCTGTTAACATGGCTGAGCGTGCTGGAGTGTGTGGAGGTGTTCATGGAGATGGGGGCCGCCAAGGTGTGGGGTGAAGTGGGCCGTTGGCTCGTCATTGCCCTCATCCAGCTGGCCAAGTATGTTGGGACTGTGGAGGGCAGGCCCTGGGTGGGGGTAACCGAGGCCAGCTGTACAGATGGGGTTCAACAGCACACCTCTGCACCCCTGCCGGCTAGTCACCTCCCCCCCAGCCCTGCCATACTCCCAATCCAGGGCAGTACTGCGAATGTTCCTGCTCATCTGGTTCAAGGCTGGCCTCCAGACCTCACCCCCCATCGTTCCACTGGACAGGGAGACCCAGGCACAGCCCCCGGGTAAGCTGCTTCCCCACGCTGGGGTGGAGTGAACATGGGACTACTCTGTGGATTTAGAGCTGACCCAATGAATCTTGTCCATTAATGGAACACATCTGTCCCCGTCAACTCATTTGTTCTCATCACCCTGCATTTTACAGAGAAGAGAGAAATTAGGTTGGGACAGAATCAGAACTTGAACACAGGACTTCTGACATGAGAGTCCTCATCCTTTTCTGTGGGCTGCATGACGAGGGGACAGGGCATCAGCAGGAGATGGGGATCCTGCCAACCTCGTCTCTGGGCCTGCCTCCGTATTCAGAACGCCAAGCTCATGAGGCAGGACACCCAGCAGATCTGTCCCTTCAGAGCTGTGGGCCCATCACCTATTGGGCTCTGAGCCTCATTCTCCTGGCCTTGAGTGGAGGCAGTTCTTTGCTTCTCCTCTAGATCATGTTGAAAGCCAAGGATGAAGAAGATAAGCCCCTCTAGTGCTGTGGCTTCTGCAGATGTGGTTGGGTTCTCCCTGCTTCAGTGTCCTTGCCTCAGCTGCTGCCTTCGCACAGGCTCATCCATTCTCCCCTTAGCCCACGAGCCTTCGTTCACTGCACACATACTCTTCGCAGGCTCTGCTGGAAGCATGTCCCTCTAACAGTGTGGCCTTCTGTCTGTCCCTGCTAGATGGTGAGCACAGCGGGAGCGGCCAGGAGCAGTCATACGTGGGGAAGCGGTCACACAGAGTGGTGCGGACGCTCCAGAACAGTAAGTGTAAGACGTAGCTGGACTCGGCATCTCAGTGCTGAGTCATCATGGGCCCGAGGGCCTGGTTCTCATCACCACCCGCCCTCCCCATGCCCAGCCTGGGCCTGGCTTCTCATCTGCCCTTGTGTTCTAGCTCCGTCCCTGCACTCAAGGCACTGGGGAGCCCCCCAGCAGCAGGAGAGACGGCAACAGCAGCACCAGGAGGAGCTGAGCGTCACCCCCACTCCGCTGGGGCTGCAGGAGACCATCGCAGAGTCCTTGTATATTGCCCGGCCCCTGCTGCATTGTATCCTTTGCATGGGGCCGCCGCCGCTTGGGGGTAGGGATTGACGGCAGTGAGCAGGGCGGGCCCCGTGCTGGAGACATCCTTGACGCCTTGGCCATCAGTGCTCAGCCTGGGTCTATGGGGGCAGCGGTCGTGGAAACCCTGGCTCCTATCTGGTGTCGTGGATGTGACCAGGTGAGCCTGGGCCTGTCTGGGGTCTCCACTCCCTCCTCCAGGCTTTGTGCTACAGGCCTTTGTGCAGGTGCCCCTATTCTTCCTGTTGCTGGTCCTAACTATGTTCCCTCATCTCCCCAGTCTGAGCCTCCTGAGTGACAGGAAGGGCCTGACCCGGAGGGAGCGGCTGGAGCTGCGGCGTCGGACCATCCTGCTGCTCTACTACCTGCTGCGCTCCCCATTCTATGACCGCTTCTCCGAGTAAGGGCCCTACAGCGCATGGCGAATGGCGGGCCCACCCTCAGCAAGGGAGAGAGGCAGGAAGTGGGATACCAGTGTCCCAACCCTCGTTCACGCCTTCCTCCCTCCCTCTTCCCCATCCCAGGTTCACTGAGCACCTGCTGTGTGCTGTCCTGGGATGTGGTCACTTGTTCACTTATTGGATCCAGCCTAGACCTGCTCTCCGAGCTCTAGGGACCACCAGCCCATGGGTGCAGGAGCTTAAGCAGTTGTTGGCAGGAGACACAGAGGACCGTGCCCAGGGATGGTGGTGGCTTGGGCTTGCCACACCCTCCAGGTCACTTGCACATCCTGTCAAGTAGTTTGGATTATCCCCACTTCTTTTTTTTTTTTTTAATATATTTTATTGATTTTTTACAGAGAGGAAGGGAGAGAGATAGAGAGTTAAAAACATCGATGCCCACATCCAAGTTCTCTCTTGGCCTGACCCTTGCCTTGCCCCACTTTGTCACCTGTGAGGGTCCAGAGCTCTCAGCCTCATCCGGACACAGGGAGGCCCGCGGGGCCAGGGGGGAGGACGGTGTGGTGCCCAGGGCCAAGTCTCCCAAGGGCCTGGTCCGACCGAATCTGAGGAGGGTCCCTGTATAGCAGTTGGGGTGTGAATAGCAGGAGGTTCCCGGGGCCCCTCTGTAGGTTTTAAAAAGTACACCGCTTCCTGTACTTCATATTATGACCGTGCAACTTCTGTCTTTTTCTGAGAAGGTAGAAAGCACGTTTATGTCATGTTTATTATCACCTCCGTGAGGAGAACTGTCTGGCAGGTTCTGCTTTCAGATAAGTTTGAAAGCTCACAAGGCACTAAAGCCAAACCCTCTTCCATATTCGAGAGGCTCACAGGAGCCTCATGACCTCCCCCCACCAATTGCCTGCACTGTACAGAGGGAACATCACAGCCCCAGTCTCTCGACAGGCATTTTGAAACAGTAATTGCAGAGGTGGCTTCCCAGGCTCCAGCTTGGCTCGCTGTCCGCTGAGCTGATCAGCCTGGCACCCTCAGAGCAGTGCTCAGACTGAGAAGGCTCTAGAAGCCAGTCAGAGAAATTCCTTGTTTCCCCCGAGGACAGGAGCAGGGTGCAGTCTGGGAAGGCACAGTTTTTCTTCCCCTTTTCCTATTGTCACAGAAACAGTAGGGTCTCTCTGGAGCCATGGGCATCCCAGGCCCATGGCTGGGAGCTATGCCCGAGGTCTCGTCCTTTGTACGGGGGTCTGTCCTTGCCCCATAGTTACTTTCTGTCTCCTGGCGCACTGCCTGCAGTCAGGTGGTCGGTGAAAGCGTTTTAGCATCCTCATTTGCAGGGACCCGGACACCCCACTCAGCCTGCTCCCTGTTTATCTCCTTGCAGGGCCAGGATCCTCTTCCTGCTCCAGCTGCTGGCAGACCACGTCCCGGGCGTTGGCCTGGTGACAAGTAAGCATGGGGCGGGGTGTGACTCTTACAGTGTGTTGTGGATCTCATGCATGGCCCTGTCCCCCTGACTGTTTTCTCTTTGTCTCCTTGTAATTTGATTCTGGCCACCACCAGAGAGGGGGCGGGAGGTCACCTTAGGTGGGGAAGAGCTCCTGGACTTGGGCCAGGCCGGGCTGGTCTGTAGCGCCTTGGGCAGCTGGAAGGAGGGTCTGGCGTGGGAGGAGTTAGACCTTATCAGCCATCAGCCTTTTCCCTGCCTCCATGTCCTGGAGTGACATGAGACTCTGGGTGGACACACGCTGGCGAGATTGAAGCCCACTGGGCTGCTTGCAGATTCCACCTCAGCAGAGAGCCACTGGGCTGGGCTGGCAGCGTCTGTACAGCTGACACACTGGGTGGCTTCTGAGCGTGAGCATGTAAATGGAGACAAAGATCGCTGCTTTTCTGCCTCCCAGGGGTGAAGAGGTGAGGGTCAGTCTCCAGGCCGCGTAGATGTGAACAGCTGTACTTGAGCAACAGTGGCTGACAGGAACCTGGGCAGAGCAGAGCCCGGAGTCTGGCCCTCAGTCCTCAACTTGTGTGTTCTCTCTCTCTCATTGCAGAACCACTCATGGATTACTTACCTGCCTGGCAGAAAATTTATTTCTACAGTTGGGGCTAACAGACATCCCGGGAGTGGGGCATAGGGAGGGGCAGGGGGAGCCTCGGCCCTTCGGTCCCCTGGGCCCTAATAAAACTGACTCTGGCAGTATCCAAGTCTGTGGCCTCTCCCTGCCCGCAGCCTGGGGCGCCTGGCACTCCCACCCTGGCCAGGCTCTGTGCTCAGCCCTGGGCGCCACCACAGCCCTCTAACACCTTCTCAACTTTGACTGCACCTTCCAGTGGTGGAGCCGCTGCAGCTGTACCTCATCGCTGGACCAAGCAGCCTCTGCTAGGACTGGGACCCAGGTTCCTCAGCCACAGAAAGCTGGCACTGAACCTCGAGCACGGGGAGCTGCTTGTCATGGCAGCTGCGGGAGTAAACTGCCTGTCTCACTGGTCCCTGGTGACAAGGCTGAACCCAGGCAGTGATGACAGCTGCCTGCCTGTCTTCCGGCCAGAGCCACTGTCTGCCCCTTCCCCCTGCAGGGCCCTGCTGCTCGCCAGCCTCTGTGAGGGAGCCTGGGGAGTGGTGGCCCAGTGCAGTGCAGTGTGGCACCTCAAGCCCTGAACTCCTAGTCGAGAGCAGAAGGCTTTTCTCCTTTGGGAAAAGAATGCCGGGCACCAGCCAGCACTGGGGTTGACACTGGGCTGGAAAGAACAGCAGCCTGAGCAGCTCTGGGGGGAGTTGGGTGTAGGTTCTGCCTGGTCTTTCCCTTTCCTGCCCCCCTGCCCTGCCCCCTTTTCCCTGTAAACAGACCACACTGTGCTGCTGGTTTCTAGCCAGAGGTGGTCCCTTAGGTTCCGAGAACTCGGTCTGCCTTGGTATCTGTCGTGTGTCACCTCCTAGACTCCCAGGTGAAGGTCCCCCCCCCCCCCCCCCCGAGGGGCCAGCCTTTCCTGGACTGCTTTCCCCAGTGCCTCAGAAGCCACCAACCCCAGGCCCTGTCACAGCTCGAGGCCCACAACCTTCCCCCGTGTCTACCAAGGATTGCTTGGCACTTGCTCTGTAGCAGGCTCTGCTTTGTGCAATTTGTTCAGAAATGAGTACAGCACAGTTCTTGCCCCAGCTCCCAGCAATCGGTGGAGGAGACGCATGTAAATGCATGCAGTGCGCGGGTTGCTGCAGCGAGTGCAAGTGTGTGTGAAAAGTAGCCTAGACTCGGTGTGTTCCGGCTCAGGCTGACGACTGGGAAGGCTCACTGGTCAGGGAAGCCTTCGTTCCAGCAGGCTGTTAAACTGGTAAAGCTCCATCGTTTTTTGATGACAGACCCGGGGAAGAGGCCCTGTGTGCAGAAAGCAGCATGTGTAGTATGGCAGTGGCGTGAAGCCAATGCTGGGGGGGAAGTAGAGGGTGGGAATACAGGGGATGAGGCTAGAGAAGGTCAGGGCCAAATCCAACAGGCCATCAGCTACCAGGTGAGAAATGGACCTGCCTCGGAGGCAGTGGGGAAGCTGCTTGGTACAGGGTGGGCTGACGGGCACAGACAGAGGATAGGGGCAGTGACGTTGCTGGTGGAGACCTAGAACAGTGGATGGGGCTGAATTATGGCCATGGCAGGGCGATAGGCTTAGGAGTGGCCCAGGCAAACCTTGGAACTGGTTGTAGAGAGGAAGAGGTGGCAACTTGGGGGCAAGACGAGTGAAGGTCGAGGGGTTTGGAGTTAGAGCGTCAGGGAGCTCATAGTTCCCAGCAGAGGTGGGATACAGAAGCAGACTGGGTGTTCAGGACACACAAGGATGGAGGTGGTCAGTGAGAAGCCAGTGGGTGTGCTCCAAGCACAGGGAGCAGGTGTACTGCAGACTCCAGAGCTGCTTGGACTTGGCTGGACCAGGAGCCAGGTTGGGAAACCTCTCTGGGCCTGAGGCACCTCAGCAGTTGAAGGAAGGGGTTGGACCTGCCAGCAGATCTGCTGTCTTAGAAGCAACCGAGTTTCCCAAGTGCAGACCCCCAGCTCAGCCTCAGGTTCTGATCCCACAGGTCTGGGTGGGGCCCAGAGTTTGTGGTTCAACCCAGCATCATGTGGGTTCAGAGCTTCTGCAGTGAGCCAGGTCAGCCCCACATTACAGAGCCGACAGGAACCAAAGACGGGGTCCCCCACTCAGCCACAGGCTGTTAAGATTCTCCAGGACACTGTCTCATTGCATTTATTCACTCAACAAATCTTTATTGAGCACCCACTAGATGTCAAGTACTGGGGATCCCATAGTCCCTCTGGAAACATACTTGAGGATCAGGTCCCAGCCTTTGCCCACAAACTTGCCCTCTGCCCAGGCTCTGGGGTGATGGCAGGGCCTGTGGAGGCCCTGAGCCAGGCTGTTCAACCCTATGGGGAGCTAAGTGGGAAGTTCCTCAGAATGCGTCCCCCAGTGGGATCTTGGAGCTGGCCAAGCTGAGTGACCGCTCTGGGCTCTTCGGCCGGCAGGACCTTCATGGAACGACTGAGCTGTTGGAGGGAGAGACGTTGGAGGTGGCCGGTGGTGGTCGCAGGAGGCTGAATGGGAATGGGTGGGGCTCGGGGGATGAGGATTCAGTGACTGACTTTTGCTGATGGCCTACTGTGTGCCACACCTTGGAGACATTATGTATGTGCCTTACCTCACAGATGAGGAACCTGAGGCCCACAGAGATTAGTGACCTGTCTACCTAGCAAGAGGCAAGGTAGGGACTTGAACTGAGAGCTGACTCCAAAGGTCTGTGCCCACCTTGGGCAGTGGCACTAGAACAAGATGTGATTTGGCACCTGCTGACCTACATCGATAGTAAAATCCAACGAAAAACCTCAGCGTGGAGGTTTCTGGCCTAGTCAGGAGCTGGTGCTGACGCTCAGCCCTGGAACTAATGTCCTTTGTGAGGTGGCCCTGGGAGTTGGCAGCAGTTCCGTCCTGCTGGGGGAGGGGCAGCAGAAGCCGGGATCCGGACCTGCGCAGGAGATGGCTCTGTTCTCCAGGGCCGGGCTGAGCCTCTGCCTCCTCTCCCTCCTCCTGGCAGCTGCACTCCTCCACCCCCAGCCGCTGAGGTAACTCCCAGGAACACAGAGCCAGGGCTCAGCAGGGCCTGGGGCCTGGAAGGTGGGGGGCAGCATGGCAGAGGAGGAGAGGCTGGTGTCATCCTGGACCACTCCCTGCTTCACGGGGAGGTGATAGTGGCCTTTGGGGCCAGCGTTGAGCACCCCACCATCTCCCACAGGCCTCAGCGATCCGTTCCCGAGCAATTTTCAGCCCCCTTGGAACTCTCACAGCCACTGTCTGACCTGTTGGATGGTAGGATCCCGCATCCCTCCCCTGCCCTGCCTCCCCTCCCCTGAGGAGACATGCGCTAGGGGAGGGCATCCAGGTCCAGCCTCAGGGTCGTCTTATCTCAAACAGCACCTTTCAGGGGCGACTTCAGCAGATTCAAAACCAGAGTCTCCCTCCACGCATAGCCTCTTGTCTCTCTTAGACTATGGGATCCAACCCAAGCACCCAAGGCGACGAGGGCCTCGACCCCTCCTCTCCCGGGCCCAGCAGCGCAAGCGGGACGGACCAGACATGGCTGAGTATTACTTCGACACACGCCGGTGATGGGAATCACTTATAAAGCTATTCTGTGCAGTAAAGCCTCGGGCTTTCCTGGGATGGGAATGAGCTGAGCATGGGAAGGGTCCACGTAGATACACCCACTGCAGTCCAGACAGGAAATGGCACTTTAATAGTTGTGGCCAGGGTGACAGGACCAAGATGGGGCTACAGCCAAAGCAGCCAAGAGGCCGGGCTGGCCCGGGCCAGTGGGGAGCCGCCTTTTCCTGCCAGGGTGGGGCCCTGTGCAGCTCTCTCCTTCCTTGAGGGGCCCCACAACTGCGGGGGCCAGCATGCCAGCGAGGTTGGAGGTGGAGCCAGCCAGAGGCCACACAAGTGACAGCTGGGGACAGGGATGCACCTTCACCTGCTGCTGTTCCCTTACTGGAAAGTCCTTAGGAGGAGCTGGTCTCAGCCTGAGCTCAGGGCCTTTGGTTGGGGTTGGGAATTGGGGGCAGGTTGGGCACTTGCAGGTGGCATGGGCTTCATCAAGGCAGAAGAGAGCCAGAGGCCCTGGCAGGGGAAGTGTGGCCCAGGATGGGACAGAACCCTCCGCTCCTGGATGGGCATCCTTCCTGGCCACAGGCCTGACCAGCCCTGCCCCCACCCAATCCCCGGGCAGCCTGCTCTGTCCTCCATAGATGAATCTAACCCCTTATATTACAATAAACTGCATTTGCCTCTCCCCATAAGCCCCACCCTCCCACCCTCGGCCGATGGCCTCCACTTCCCCACCCTCTGGTGGTGGCGGGTGCCCCTCCTCAAGCAGTGCCACGTCCTGTCAGCAGCCAGCTGTCCTGGCCCTGGCCTGCGGGCCCGGGGAGGCAGAGGGCAGGCAGCGCTGCTACTCCAGGTAGATGTCTTCTGTGGGGCAGGTGTACTCCACAAACTGCTTGTAGAACTGCTGGAACGCTCTCCTAGGAGGCAGGAGACACACGCTGACGGGGGAACTGGAGCCTCAGGGTCCCTGGGTGGGCTCCAGTCCCCTGGCTGCTCAGCTCTGTTCTCTACAAACTGTTTCCTAAATGAGACTGCAATTGGCGAAAGGGTCTAACAGCTAAAACGTGTGGAAGCTACTCCTCAAGACCACGCAGGCCTCTCTCGAGGTCCCTGCACTGTGACCTGGAGGCGGTGTGCAGAGCTGGGGAGGGCTGAGGGTGAGGCTGAGGATTGTGCTTGAGGGCTTGAGCCTGGGCCGGCTGGCGTGCCTGCGCTTGTAGGGACACACACATACGTACCCCACGGATTCCGCCAAGACTTTGGTAGATTCTTCAGACACAAAGACGTGGCAGGCAAGACGGTGGTCAGCAGGGTGCTTAGTGATAAACCCGAAGTACCTGTGGGAGGACAGCAGTCTGTCTGGGTAGGATGGGGCTCAGACCCCTCCAGGCACATTCGTGGCCCCATGTCTCTGACATAATGGCTCCAGACCAGCCCACACCTCGGCCTCTGCTCCTCCCGACTTACTTGTTGTTCTTCGGATGGTATCCACAGAAAGAGATGTTTTTTAACTGGAAAAAGTGGCTACATTTATTCCCCTACAGGAGAAAGAGTAGAAGAGGGTGGTCATCAGCCTGCAGGGGGCAGAGGAGGGAGACCCGGTGGGCGAGCCGGGATGGGGCCAGGGGGTCACCTTGGCCTCCTGGGAGTCATCAGCCTTGACGCCTATCTTCACACCCCTCACGCTGATCTCTAGGATGCAGCTGGAGGGTGGGTTAAAGTGCACGGTGAGCCGGCGGGTGGTGGCGATCTGTGGTGAGGGACAGGAACATCAGGCGGGGGTGTCCCTCTCCCAGGAGAGGGTGGGGACTGGGCTGGGGGTGGGCACCCGCTTCAGGGGAGCAGGAAGCAGGTACCTTTTGCATAGCGGCACAGAGGACGTCATTGCCCTTGTGGTAGGGAACCTGGACAGAGCCCAGGAACTTCACCCGAAACTGGTCCACCCAGTCGCTGTTTTTGGTCAGGGCTGGAAAGCAAGCACGAAAGTGAGGCACGGCAGAGCCAGCAGAGGGTGCCACCATCCACGTATGTCCCAAACTGGCTGGGCTCACTCTAATCAATTGTGAAACTGACCCAAAGTCACCTCTGCTCGGCCCCTCCCTGGGTGTTGAGGTCTGGAGCATAGGCTCCCCTGGCAGCGAGTCAGGGCAGGGGAGATGTGTGGCCCGGGGGCATCAGGCAGGGGAAAGGAACACTACCTGCCATCTGTTCAGGCTCCTTGGTGACCTCGATGGCGTAGTAGGCAGGAAAGATGCCCCGGGCCCCCGTGCGCATATTGTAGGCCTCGTACCAGTAGTCCTCAGCCTGTAGCTCCACCAGCAGGGGGTCGTCCACTTCCAGCTCAAGTTCATCTTCATGTCGAGGCACAAACCTGTTCCCAAAGAAGGCACATGAGGACTTCACCACGGGGCCTCTCCAGCCAGGCCTTCCATCTACTCCCCACCCTGCTCTGGCGTCTGGGAGCTGCACTGACATCATTAGTTCAATAAACATTTGCAAAGCATCTGTGAGCCTGTCAGTGCTAGCTCCTGGGGGAAACCAAGTCAATCAGATATGCATCGGCCATGGAGGAACTCAGGCCACGGGAGGAAGTGACCGGAGCCACTGATAACATGTGAGAGGCGATGGGAAGCAAGCACTTCCATGTGGAGGGGAGGGAGGGTGTGGGTTTGCTGTGGGGTCAGGTATCGGGTGCTGGGCGCCCTCCTGGGCTCTGGTCCCGTGCATATCGGGTGCTCGCTCCTGTGCTCTGGCAGCGCAGCAAAGGCCACACGGCACTGAGAACATCTGCTCCAGCACCCTGCTCACAGTTCCGAGAGGGTAGACTGTCCCCTGGGGCTGAGAGGACGGATGAATGCCAGTGGCGGGGTTGGGTTTAGGCCAGTGGTTCTCAACCTTCCTAATGCCTCGACCCTTTAATCCAGTTCCTCATGTTGTGGTGACCCCCAATTTCATTGTTACAAATTGAACATAATTAAAGCATAGTGATTAATCACAAAAACAATATATAATTATATATGTTTTCCGATGGTCTTAGGCGACCCCTGTGAAAGGGTCGTTTGACCCCCAAAAGGCTCGCGACCCACAGTTTGAGAACGGCTGGTTTAGGCCATGTGGTGATGGCAGAGGCAGGGAGGCCAGCCCAGCTCTGTGCTCTCACCTGAAGATGGCCCGATGGGTCTGCTCCTGCTCCTCCCCGTTGATGACACAGGAGAAGAGCCCAAAGGATTCCGCACCTACGGATGAAGGGGACTGGCTGGAGGAGGAAGGTCCCAGCTCTGGTCGAGTTTTGAGGGGCAGGTGGAGAGCTCTCAGTCCTGATGCCTTGAACTGGATGGGCCTGAGGCCTCCTCCCAGGAACACCCTCGTTTCAGCTCTTCCCACCCAGGTCCCCCCACAGCTCCCGCTGCAGACTCACTGGAGGAGCGAGAGCGGCCACTCATGAAGACGTTCAGGAACTTCTTGGAGAAGTGGACGTCGGGCTCGTCGGGTGTGGAGTCCTCGGAGAGGCAGGCAGAGGGCCTCGGCCGGGGCGCCTCCTCATATTCTTCCCCAATGGCCGACTCGTAGGGCGAGGAGGCAGAGGCGCAGTTGTCATAGACAGTGGCCGAGTCACTCTCGTCACTGTAGTCTCCGAAGCACGGCCGCAGGCTCACCAGCTCCAGCTGTGCGTGCTCATCCACCACCAGCGTGTACTTGACCGAGTCGTAGGACAGCGCGCTGGTGTCCGAGCTCAGAGAGGCCCGTGGAGGCGGCGGCGGCTCCCCCAGGCTCCCCCGCCACCCTCCACCTAGTGGCTCAGCCCGCTCCGGGGAGGACAAGCAGTCGAAGCCCTCATCCTCCTCGCTGATGGAGGGGTGCGGCCGCCCTGCTGTTGAGGGGTAGGCAGCAGGGTCTGGATCGGAGCTGACCGACATCCGGCTCTCAGCTGGCGGCAGGAAGGCAGAGGTGGGCTCTGCAGGGTCTGGGGGCCTCTGCACTGGTGTCAGGTAGATCTCCTCAGTGGCCTCCAGCCTCACATCTGCCTGGTAGTGGATGCGGTCTCGATGCGAGTGGCCCCGACCACCAGGTGGAGCAGCCTGAGGGACACTGGGAGGCGCCATCTGGGTGGCAGCACTGCGGCGGCAAGGGCTGTCGGTGGAGGTGCCTCGGTCTGTAGTGGGAGCGGGGCTGCTCTGGGGTGGCAGCTCATCGCTCAGGCAGATGTGTTCGTGTGCAGGTGTCTGCTCCCCTGCAGAGCAGGCAGGTCAGAGCTGAAGGCAGGTGCCCTCACCCTTGGTTCCCAGGCTACCTGCTCCCCACACTCAGCACTTTTACTCAGCATGTCACGCAGAAGCAGGCCCAGGGCTGGTTCCAGAGCCAGCTCTCCCTCGTGCCACAACTGACCTCAGATGGGGCCACTCACAGCTGTGGGATAGGCAGTTTACCTCTACTCACAAGCTGGAGACTACTGGGTTTGCTCTCTGTATGGGGACTGGGTGAGGGCCGGTAGGAGTCCAGGTAAGGGTACTGACTTACCTGTCTTCAGGGGTGAGGATGACCGAGACACCCGATCCTGCCAACTGTGCTTCTTGCCCAGAGAATTATTATTCAGCGTGTCCTGTGCAGGAAACAAAAGGCCCTTGTGACAGAAGCAGTCAACAGTGCCCGGCACAGAAGGCCCTGGCCCTGCCCCCAGCAGGCCATCCCTAGGCCCTTTGCCGCACCCTCCCCCCTCCCCCCCCACTTGTCCAGGGCCTCACCCAAACCCTCTCTGGAGTAGGCAGGATGGGTGGCAAGTCCCAGCCCACCCAGCCAGGCCTAATGGCTCTAGCCAGCCCTTCCTCCTGGCTCAGGGAAGCTGGCCAAGCCTTAGGGCAGGGGTTCTTAACCTTCTGGCCCTTTAAATACACTTCCTCATGTTGTGACCCAACCATAAAATTATTTTCGTTGCTACTTCATAATTGTAATGCTGCTACTGTTATGAATCGTAATGTAAATATCTGATATGCAGGATGGCCTTAGGCGACCCCTGTGAAAGGGTCTTTCGAACCGCCAAAGGGGCCGCGACCCACAGGTTGAGAACCGCTGCCTTAGGGAGATGCTCTTATCAACCTCCATAAAAGAGGTGATGGCCGATGTGTGAGCTGGTGAGTGGGGGAGGAGGTGGGGAGAAGCAGGAGCCATCTGGGCACAGAGTCAGCCCCCTAGTTCCAGACACTGAGGATTAGGTAACATGAAGACTCTCACGTCCAACCCAAGTCCCTGAAGCTCAGGAAGCTATGGCCTAGGGAAGGGGCAGAGGCAGCTGCAGAGCCTGAAAAGCGCACGAGGAAGGGTCTCCCGGCAGCTGGCCTGGGGACTGGGGATGAATCATCCACATGACGACTCCACAACGCAGTTCCATCGGCCCCCCAGGAGCACATGACTGAGGAATGACTGATGTGGTTGTCAGAGGCCCTTCTTGCTGGATCTGCTGGGCTGCCCATGCCACATTCTCAGCCCCCAGGAACCCTCTCCACAACGCCTGCGTACAAGGCTCCCTACACGCAACTCAGGCCCCCTTCCCTGGGAACATCCTCACAGGCCCTCACATTCATGAATTTGGCTGCCAAAATCCACCCCTGAGGATCCTGGGAAAGGAACCAATCCTCTCCCAGCAGCCCCTGCACTCTCCACCAACAGCCCACCTCCCTGAGCTCCTCCGGACCCCTCCTCACTAGGCCTGGGAGACAAAGGGCCACAGCCACTCTCCCCCACCCTATCCAACCCTCCTTGGCATCCAGCCACCCAGCCCAGGGGCCCTAGGCCCCCAACTCAGCCGAGCAGCTCCACCTCCCATCTCTCCTCCTCCTGCCTTCTGGGAATTCCCAGCTGCCCACATGCACACCGGCTGCTGCCTCTGAGCTCCCCATCCCCAACTCTTACAATTCCCCATGACCTCCCACCACACCGGCCGCTTCGAATGACCTTTTCTCCAGGCCCTGCTTCTTGTCCACCTTGCCAGGGACCCCATACCCTAAGCAGGAAACCTGCCGCAGCCTGAGGTCCCTGGCTCCAAACCCTTGCAACCCCTCAAGCCAGTTCTCTTAATGCCCCGCTCCTCTCCTTGCTCAGATCTCGGGGCCTTCACGCCTCCTCTCCCTACGAAAGATCTTACCTGCCCCCGAGACCACTTGCCCACGGACCTGCCCCCTGGGAAGCCCTGGAAGATCTCACCGGCCGGAGACCTCTCCCCGCGCCAGACCCGCAAGTTCCCGCTCAGCACCTCCTCGCGCGCCCACCTCCCGGGGCCTGACCCCGGAGCCGCCCCTTCAGCCCCGCCCCACGCCGCTCGCGCCCCACCTGAGACCGCGGCACCTGTGGGAAGAGGTTGAGCGTGGTGGGCCGCTTGGGTCGGTACGTGTCCCCGCCGCCCTGGCCCTGGCCCTGGCTGCGGGGCGCCGGCTCCTGGCGAGGCTCGGCTTCGGGCGGCCCCGCTCCCGGACGCCGCGCCGCGCGCTCCTCCTCGTCCTCCTCCTCGTCGTCCTCGGCGCCGGGAGTGTCCCCCGCCGCGTCGATCAGGTCCATCTGCAGCATCTCGGCCTGCAGCCGGCTCCCCGCGCAGCCGCCGCCCCCCGACAGCAGCCCGGCACGCGGGGGCTTCGCCGTGCAGACGGAGGGGTGTCAGGGGGCGGGGCCCGGCCGGGGCTGGGGCGGGGCCGAGGCCGCCGTGCACCGCCCCCCGCCCCGGCGAGTCCATTCCGCGGCCGCAAAGAGGGGGAGAGAGGGAGCGGGGCAGGAGCTCGGGGAGAGGGGGCCGCGCCCGCCCACCACCCGCCAGGAGGCGTGAGGCCGCTTCCTCCCCACTCCAGCGAAGCCTCTGACGGTCCACACCGCTCCCCTCCCCACGGCCCCCCGCTTCCTGACTCTTTGCACCCTCCCGTTCCCTTGGCAACAGCCCGTGACCTCACCCGCCTAGTAAGCGGAGCCCAGAGTGAGGTCACCGCTGTTGCCATGGGGAGGAAGGGTCGCCTAGGAGTTCGCGCCCCGTAAGGGATCGGCTGGGGGTTAGTATTTGGAGGGGGCAGTGAGGAAAATGGGGAAAACAGTCTCAGTGGGGCGAGGGGTTGCGGAAGGGAAGGGCCGCAGTGCAGACCGGGGGATCTGAGCGCGGCTGCAAGAGGGATGCTGAAAGGGAGGGGCAAGTGCGGTCTCCGCCCTGGCAGGGGCAGACCCCACCCTCCCGTCCACAGGCCTTGGCCCCTCCAACCTGATGTATACCCTCGGCCAGTCTAACCTTGAGAGTTCCGAGTCCTATTCCAGTTCCAGCTCTACCACTAACTCCCTGGCACCTGGGGCAGATTTCCTGCCCTCCAGTTCCCTCACCAGTTAAACTGCCTCCCAGACTCCCAGAGAGGTGTGGAAGCCCTTTGGAGCTTTCTAGGGCTCCACAGGGTGTACCCCATGGCCTTGGGGCGCTAGCTGGTTGCAGGACCACCCTCTGCAAGGCTCTGCCTTGTGCATGTTGGGGGAGTGGGCATTGCGGGAAGAGAATAGGTGTATGACCTTAGAGAAACTATGTCAGGGCCCTGGGACCATTCCCCAAGCCCAGAAGAAGTGACCTCTGCCTCCATCCCTTCCTCGCCTGGCCAGAGGGTGGAGGGTTGGGATGCAAGTACTTGAGGGTCATCCTCCCCCACCCACTTGGTTTCTTCCTTCCTGGCAGGCTTACAGAATCTCTTGGGGCAATAGGAGGTCAACACAGAGACAGGAACCCCATCCCAACTCTCCTTTGCTAACCGCTCTCCTAGCACCATGTCTGCTTTGGCCAGTCACCCTCCTGGGGGCAGAGAGAAGCTCTGGACTCTGCAACCAGCCCCATGCTTTGCCTTCCATTTCCTGACTAGTGGTTCCTTCTTTCTATTCTGAAAAGGTACAGATCTCCATCTGATCCCGGTGCCCCAGGTGCTGCGGACCTCCTGGCGGGATTCAGAACGTTAGGGACAGAGAGAGCCATCCGTCCTATGACAAAGCCACGGGGTCAAAAGCAGTAGCAATGCTGGGTGGACCCTCCAAAGGGGCCTTTAGGACTGTGGGCCAGAGAGGGTCTGCGAGGCCATGTGGTGTGGTTTGGTGCAAGGGCAGCAGAGGGAGTGCTTGGCTCCTTCCTCCTGCCCCAGAGCACTGCAGAGCACTCAGACTCCACCCTGCTCTGCCTCAGGCCCTCTGCCAAGGCCACTCCCGACAGGATTTAGGGTCTTTCTCAGCTTTCCCTTAACTAAGGCCCTCACTGTCCTAGACCTCAAGACCTCCTGCCCTCTCCCTTCTAGTGGGCAGTTGAAGGAGCTACCTCCTGCCTTAACTCCTGGCCAAAAAGAAAACAAAAATTCAGATGGAGGCTCAAGATGTGCCAAGCATTGTACTGGATGTTTCCTGTATGCTCTTTCATTAACAAGGGTGCCATACAGACCCTGAAAGCCCCTGAGTAGATTTGGGGGTGCCCTCAACCCTGTCCCTACCCATCCTGCCACTCCACTTGGGCTCCTGGGAGCCCGCCCTTACCCGTAAGGACAGGGTGTCTTTGCACTGCAGACTGATGCCACACTCATCCGTGATCTCTGAGAGGTCTTCATCCTCAAACTCCTCCAGGCTGATATCATGGGTGAGCCTGGTGGGGACAGGAAACCAAAGTTACAACCCAGGGGGAGCTCAGCCCACGGATGTCTCCCTAGTACGTCCTCCAAGGGGCAGCCCCTCGAAGGCAGATCACAGCCCCCAGAGGATGGGACTTGGAGTCCACCGGTGCCAATGCAAGGGGTAACCACCAGGCAGGGGAAGAGTTGTGGGCTCATGCCAAAGGCAGTCTTCCTGGGGTGGCAGTGGAAGGGGCGGCTCCAGGTTACCCCTGCTCCCCCCGGCTGGGAGCTGTCCATCCTGTTGCCAAACTAGAGGCAGTGCCTGGAAGGCCCAGCTGCTCGGAGCCTCAGCTCTGCCAGAGAAATGCCTCCCAGGGTCAAGGCAGGTGCCAAGGCCAGTTCACCCATGGAGAATGCGAAGAGTGGAGAAGAGACTCCGAGGGATGTCCGGAGTCGGGGCTCCCTGTCCAATTCCTGCAGCAACAAAACCCCAGGCACTGGCAGAGCTGCTCCCCGGCCCCAGAGGGGTGCGCCATTCCCCCAGCCCAGGAAGATGCACGCTGCTTGAGCCACAGAGCAAGGAAGGGAAATGTGGTGTCAGTGTGGGGCGTTTCCACCCGTTCCAGGACTGACTAGGCCATTATTCTATGTTCTTGGTCTCATCTCTTCAACCACAAAATCACTTTGCCCAGATATGGACCCTGAACAGGCTGCACAGATGGGGTCAAAGAATTGGGGCTGGAGGGATGGTGAGCTCAGGAGGCAGCACACCCCAGCACCAGAACTAACCAGCTGCACTAGAACCCTCTGCCCCAGGCCAGCCCTGTGCCCCCGCCCACTGCGGTCCCCACCTGCCCCAGCCCTAGGCTCCACCTGGTTTGGTGGGAGTGGGACATTTTGGAGAATTCTGTGGGGAAAGTTGGGAACAATTCTGAGCCTTTTCCCAAATGAGACCAAGAGACTGAGGCTTAGAGCGAGAGACCCACAGTCCAAGGTCACCCAGGAGAGGGGGTGGCCCAGCCCCCAGGGGAGCCTAGGAGGCCCAAGCCCTCTGCCTCTCACCTCAGTCAGCCCCAAACAGAGACTCAGAGCTCAATGGAGCTGCCCCCCCAAACTTCCCCCTCCCCCCAAGCCCCCACTCCCCTACCAGTGCTCCCACTGATCCTCCAACCAGCTGTCATTGTCTGGGCTCGAATCCATCTTCAGGAAGAGCTGCATGGAGAGCCCTGCCCGGCCAGGGGGCTTCGGGGCCCCAGGACCGCCCTCTCATGCCCAGAAGGGTTGGGGGGCCAGGGCTCAGGGCAGGGCTGGGGCCACAGGCCTGGGCCTGCCTTTCCGCATGCTGCCCGCTGCAGAAGCCTGGAGAGCTCATTAAAAATACATGGGCCGGGAGAGGAGGCAGCGGCTGCTGCCGACCCAGGCCCCAGCCCAGCTCTTCCTGGCCCAGCCCTCAGCTGCAGGCAGCTTCCTCCCCCTGTGAGGCCGATGCCCGCTGTCGCTGCCGCCTCCCCGGAGGGATCAGGTTACTGCAATCAATGCTACCAGCTCCACCTGCCCTTCCAATGCCCCTGTCGGGGGCTGGAGTGGCCCCCCTCCCTGGCCCAGGCTTGTAAGCAGATCGCAGAAATCTGGGCGGTTTACCCCCAAAGCCAGCTCCTGATCTGCTTTAAAGGGCCAGCGCCACACTCAGGGTGCACGATGACCAGATGGGGGTGGGGGTGGGGTCCTCTGAAAATCTCCATGAATGGATGGCCCACAGCTACATGCTCAGCCCCACACCTCATCAGGGGGGCTTCTGTAGGCCCAGGCAGTATACAGACAGGGCTGACTGGGGCAGCTCTATTGCCCACTGAGTGCAGCAGAGAGCCCTGCCCCCTGACGAAGGCTCTGTCCTTCAGCACCCAGGAGGTGTCTCTGGGCACACAGCCAGGGAAAGGGCAGACCCTGTGGGCCCTTCGTCACTGGGCTGGAAGGGTGGCCTGGGAGGTGATGAGCCTCTGTCACTTTGAAGTGACATAAGCAGAAGCTGGAAGGCCCCCGGAGGGAATGGCAGAGAGGAATTGGACCAGGGCAAGGGGGCCAGATAGAGGACGTGCTCCTTCAGGCCTTCTCTATTGGAAGCCCCAGGGTAGGTGTGCCAGTGGGGGATGTGAGGACAGCGCAGCCTACAAGCCAGAGCAGCTCTGTTCAGCCAGGCCAGCACAGGGTGGCGTCTCTGGCCCTGAAACCCGGGTGGCTGGCACTAAGTAAACGATTAATACACATGGGCTGCCTGGACAGTCACAGGGAACGCACCCCTGGGACTCAGCCAGCGTGAGGGAACCCTGAGATGCCCTCAGATTCTCCCCGCTCTGCTGGTGACCCCTGCACACATCTACTTCCCTCCCTCACTGCCCAGCCCTGGTCCAGCTCCTGCCCCTGCAGACCTCCCCACTGGCCTGCCTGCATCAGTCTCCCCAAGCCTGCACCACCCCACCCCACCTTCCACTCTCTGGCCAAGCTGTCCGAAACACCACCCCTCTGCCCTCCACCCAGGGGTCCCTGCTGGCAGCTGCCTCCTTGGCCTGGCATCCTAGGTCTCCAGCTCCTCTGTGTCTCCTGCAGCTGCCTCCCCAGGGTCTAACGTGGAGCCTGTGTGGAGCACATGGCAGGCTCTCACCTGCGCTTGCTGGAAGAGGACTCAGTTAAGCCGCTCCTCGGAAAACCCCCTGCTTCCCCCCTCCCCGTGCTAGTGCCTTACAGCCCTCCCGGCCACACTCACTGGTCCGTCCTCCTCCTGCTTGTGGTAGGTGTCTGCCATCTGTGTGGGCGCAAGACAGTGTGGTGCAGTAGACAGGACACCCCCTCAGACACTCCCAGTTTGCTCCAAAGGTGGGTGGAGCTCACATCCCCCACTCGGTGCCCAGCAGGTGATGACTGCAGGTCCCCTCCCTCCCAGCTGCATCTGGACCGCATGCCCCGAGGGCAGAGCGGCAGGTCCTCTTGCAAACACTGGTACTGCTAGATGCTTGTCAACGACTTCCTTAGCTGGCTCCCCAGCTCATCTCCACACCCTCAGACCGCTGATATTCCCACTTCCGGGGATGGCAGGGCTGGGGCCGGGCAGGGACAGCTGTTTCATCCTTCACAGAGGAGGAAGCAGAGGTCACCTGGGGATCAAGAGAACCTGCACTTGACCCCCAGCTCCAGCGGGCGGGTTAAAGGAGCTCCTTATCTTTCTTTTCTCTCATAAGCCAGGCAGGATGGGAGAACGGTCACCGTATCAGGCTTGGAGGCCAGAGGCCTGAGATCAAATCCCGGCTCCACTTACGAGGAGCGGAGCGGCGGCTCCATCTCCCGAGCAGCAGCCGGCCGCAGCCCTGCCTCTCCCTCAGTCCTCACTACAACCTTGGGAGAGGGTTCATTTTGCCCACTTTCCAGATGGGGACTCTAGGCTCAGACATAAGGTGTCGTAGGTGCCCATATATAAAATGGGGCCGCCCACACCTGCTCACACACCTCCAGGGTGCTGGCAAGGATTCACAGAGCAGTATTTGTGAATTGCAGCGCTGTGAGGAGGTGGGGACCAAAGATCAAGGATCGACTGGTCAAGGATCCCCCTTGGCAAGCCACCCCTCTCCCCACCCACCCTGGCCCTGGCCTTTTCTCCTGCTCCTCCAGGCCCCCTCCTCCAGGCTCAAGGAAGACAACCTTGGGCAGGAAGGTGGAGAGAAAAGATGGAGGAGAGGAGGGAGCAGAGGAAGGGAAGAAGGAGCGAGGTTTCCTCTGATCCCACTATCCACCATCCCCATGGAAACCTGAGCCCTGAGCCCCAGGAGGCGGCCTCAAGCTGAATCACACGCCCCCTGCAGGTCTCCATCCCTGGCCTCTAGACCCGCAGACTCAGCAGCTTCCCTTCGCTCAGCCACACCGGTGGGTGAGATGTTCCCGAGGTCTCATCCATATTAACCTTGGCGACTCTGTGTCATGAGTTTGGTCTCTTGAGACTGCCCTGACCTGGGATCTATCTTTATATTTGAGACCCCCCTCTTTGTGTTAACCTTACCCCAGTCCAGGGCCCGGTCCTGCCTTCTGACCCAGCGGTCCCCTCGCTGCATTCTGCACATGCCGTTCTCCACACTCCCACCCTCCCTGAGCCGAGTTCAGACATGAACACGCCTTTTGTGTTCTGTTTATTTCGTGGCCTTTCCCCTTGCCATGTGCAGTCACACCACCCTGCTCTCCTCCTTCCACCCACCGCAGCCCTAGCCCTTTCTAACTTGCTGCTTCAACCCACTAGCAGGCTGAGTTAGAACTGTATGCAAAGTCAGAGTTAGGTGGTGAAGGGCTGAGGCTTTAGCTGAGCAAGGTCAAAACTAAGCCAGGCATTTGGCCGTCCAGAGGCCATTCTTGTCTTCCTGCTCCTGGCTCTCCTGGAGTGAGGTAAGGATGCTGCTAACTGAGTGACCTTGGGTCCTGGCCATGGTGCCCCGCGGGCCCCTCTATCGACAGAGAGCATCGGTGGTCCGAGGGTCCAGCCTCTCTCTGCCTTTTGAGTGCTGTGGCTCCCAGTGGTTCTCAGGACGCCTGTGGATGGGCTGCTCATTTCCCTCTGGCCCCCCTACAGGCCATTCTCCCCTGGGCAACCAAAACCAACATTTGAAAGGCAAATTTAGTCTTGTTACCCCTCCCCAGCTCAGAATCCTTTAATAGCTTCCCCTGTCCCTTAGGGAAAGGGGCCAACATTCTCACCTGAAGGCTCAGCAGAGCCTGCTCTTCCCTGTAGCCTCTATCATCCAACCCCTACCCCGTACCCCATGTCTCCAACTCCCAGCTCTCTAGACTCCTGCCCCATTGGCTCCCTCAACAAAGTCTTCTCTGACCCCCCTGACCAGGCCAAACAGCCCTGATACTGGTCCTCTTAGTCCAGTGGTTCTCAACCTTCCTAATGCCGCGGCCCTTTCATACAGTTCCTCATGTTGTGGTGACCCCCAACCATAAAATTATTTTCGTTGCTACTTCATAACTGTAATTTAGCTACTGTTATGAATCGTCATGTAAATATCTGATATGCAGGATGTATTTTCATTGTTACAAATTGAACACAATTAAAGCATAGTGATTAATTACAAAAACAATATGTAATTATATATGTGTTTTCCGATGGTCTTAGGCGACCCCTGTGAAAGGGTCGTTCGACCACAAAGGGGTCGCGACCCACAGGTTGAGAACCGCTGTCTTAGTCCCTCCTGCTGGGTAGTCCTGATCACTATAATTTCACCTTTGGGTTCTACAAACTCTGGTGGGCTCCCCTTAGGGGCAGTTGGTCCATAGGGTGGGATCATGTCTCTCTTGATGAACCATGTGTGGTGCCCAAGAGGTACTTAATAAATGTTGTTGAGTGAATGAACCACTGGAGTCCCCAGGTCTTTCTAGATCCCCCCTGGAAATCTCTAAGTGAGTTCTCCTTTCACCTCAACTTCCTGTGTGCCCACCCACATCAGAGTCGGGGTAGGATGTGTAGGCCCCTGGGAAGGCAGGACTGGCTGAAACGGTGCGATGGGGGCGAGCCAGGCCCAGCTGCACCCTCAGAACCTTCTCTCCACCCACCCCCAGCTCCGGATGGACACAGGTCGGGCTGGGTTGGTTCCTCTGATCTGGAATTCCCTTCCCAACCATGTCCACATGGGGTCATCTCCAGTGGAAACTGAATCCAACCCAAGAAACCAAATCCAAGCAACAACCCCTACTTGGGGTTACCTGTCTGATCTGGTTAAACTCCATGGTGCCCATATGCTGCAAGGACTCTGGGATTTGACTTTTGGGAAACCCCCTGAGAAGACAATCCTACATGTGGAAAACCTTGTACACAGGATTGTATTCCTCATACCAGCAAACCACGGAAAACAACCACAACAGCCCAGCACCAGGGCTGGCTAAACGGTGCCCACCCAGAGGAGGGAACATTGCGTAGCCTTTTGGGTGAACGTTATGAAGTCTGTGTATTAATGTGGAAAATGGCAACCAATATGGTGAGCAAAAAGCCAGAATGCGTGTCCTATGGTTTCACGTGATGAATCACACACAGGAAGCAACTGGAACAGGAACGAGTGGTGAGGTGTGCTGGGACCTGGGTAGGGATGTCCTCTCTGAGGCGTCAGTGGCCATCTCTCTCTCAAAGATGAGACTCCCACGGTCTTTGGGCTCAGCCAATCTTCTCCAGCCCCAGACCCCAAACCAGCTGCCTACTTGAATCCACCTTTTGGGTCCCCCAGTGACCACCGACCTAGAATTCAGCAGGTCAAATAATAATTTCACCTCCCTGCTCGCCAAACCTCTCCTGTTGGGCACCACATCCCGAGGCACTCAGAAGCAGCCAGGACCCCTGCCTCTCCCCACTCCTCACACCAGATCCCTCACCAGCAGCCCACCCTCCACACCTTCCTCACCGGAAGGATGGCCAGCGGTCCCCTGCTTCCCCATCCACTCTCTACCCAGCGGCCGGGGTGATCTTCCCCACACATGGATCCGATGTGGCTGTTCCCTGCCTAAACCCTGCTGTTCCCACTGCTTGTCAGTGAACAGGCCGGGTCCCTACATGGCCTTCGAGTTCTGCATTCCCAGCTCTCTACACTCGTGCCAGACTGGGTGGCAGACACCCTGCCTCCTCTCTCTGATCTTGGGCCCATGCTATCCCCTCCCTCTTTACCCCTCCTCCTCTTGGGTGACACCCACAAGGCCTGAGCTGAGAGGACCCTTTCCTGACCTGCTGACTCCCAGACCCTGGACCTTAACCATCCACCCCTAACAGCCTGTCCAGGAAGGCCTTGTCCATCTGTCTGACACCACCGCCTGCATGACAACCAGGCCCTGCTTGCCTCTGGAGGGACTCTCTGGGGAGCCTGGCAAAGGGTAAGTATTTGTTGAGCGAACGAAGGACCAGCCAAGTGTGTCCCCCTTGTGAAGAGATAAGTAAGGAGGTCCCTGCACCTCCCGGTGTCCTGTCTCTCATCCCTGAGGCACTGTGTTGGGGTAAGAGCGCCACCATCCAAGGAGTCATGAGGCCACCATCCCAGCTCTGCCACTAACTTGCTGTGTGTTTTAAAAAGTTACGCTTACACTATAATGTAGTCTATTAAGTGTGCAATAGCATTATGTCTAAAAAAACCAAAACCAAACCAATGTACATAACTTAATTAAAAAGACTTTATTGCTAAAAATGCTAACTACCATTTCAGCTTTCAGCAGGTCATAATCTTTTTGCTGCTGGAGGAGTTTGCCCTTAATTTATTAAAAAAAAAGCAATATTTGCGAAGTTCAGAAATACGAGATATGCCTGTAATGAACATGTATCGCTTTCATTTTAAAATTATTGTGTAAATTACACAATTTGTTGTAAAAATAAGAAGTCAAATAATACAGCAGTATGTACATTAAGTACAAATCCCTCCCCCTACATCATGTTCAGAGGCAACTACTAGTAACTGGTTAGAGAATTTATACTCAGAAAAGAGACCCCCACATATTCAGAAAAGAGACCCCCACATATTTATTTACACCAACTACAATGAACTCCCCACCCTTACGGGTCTACAGCACGCCGACCTTCCAGGGAGCTCGCTCTTCAGGGTGGCTCGCAAATCAGACTGCCTGGGTTCAAACCTCAGCTCTGCCACTTACCCCACTTTTTAAAAATATATGTTTTTATTGATTTCAGAGAGGAAGCGAGAGGGAGAGAGAGATAGGAACATCAATGATGAGAGAGAATCATTGATCGGCTGCCTCCTGCACGCCCCACACTGGGGATCAAGCCCAGAACTCGGGCATGTGCTCTGACTGGGAATTGAACCGTGACCTCCCGGTTCATAGGTCGACGCTTAACCATTGAGCAACGTCAGCCGGGTGTTACCCTACTTCTTTATGCCTCAGTTTCTTCAATTGCAAAGTGGGAATAATATGTGACTGGGGTGGGAGTGCTCTTGTGCAAAGAATGCTCAGAACGGTGCCCAGGCAAAGTGAGCACCTCGCAGGTGTCAGCGAGCCCACTGCTATTCTCTGACAACATGCACTGTTATTTTCTGTACCCCAGTAGGGCAGCACCCAATTTTATCCTTAATTAAGAAACCAATAAGGCATCATTGAGCACCTGCTCTATGCTGGGCATTGTGTGAATCAAAGTTTAGGCACTGACTCCTTATGTCTTCTGGAAGCTGATAGTGGTGTTGAGGGCACATGTGCACACACCAGATAATAGTAATAATAATAATTATTATTAATAATAATAATCTATATATATATAAAAGCCTAAGCGACCATTACGATCGGTAGACTGGTCACTATGGCGCGCACTGACTACCAGGGGGCAGATGCTCAAC